CCCGATCCTTTAAAATAAAGGGGAAAAAACCTCCACAAAGAAATACAATATCTGCACAAACCTGGTACAGTGCCCATATCATCATTTGCTGGTCAAACATCGATGTTTGATATCCCTTGATGGAGTTTCTTTAGAAATCAGTCCTACATTTTGAAAGATAATTACATGTATTCATCATTTTCTTTAAATTCAGCCTCTCTTCAAACTGCTCTTGCCGAAATAATTATCAAACACATTCCAAATAACATCAATGTAAGGAGATCTTTACCGACTGTTTGAGAGGGTAAATTGGTTTCAATAACGGTTGTAGGGGAAAGAAATCAGCCGTTTACTGCGTATGAGAAGAGCCAATTGGTAAAAAGCTAATGAAGCAGACTGCTTTGAGTTCAACAGAGACTGATTAATGTTTACCCGCTGTCGAGGGATGAGGGGTCAGTGAAATTGTGTCTGGTTGTTAAGATAGGGGTGTTGTGTTTGTTCGATGGGGTTTTTTGTGTTGCTTTTCCTTTGTATCCTTAAAAATTAAGGGTTGGTTCTTTATTTTGTGTGTGTTGATGTGTGTGTGTGTGTGTGTGTGTGTGTGTGTGTGTGTGTGTGTGTGTGTGTGTTTGTGTTTGAGTGAGTGAGTGAGAGAGAGAGAGAGAGAGAGAGAGAGAGAGAGAGAGAGAGAGAGAGAGAGAGAGAGAGAGAGAGAAACACAAAACGAATAATAACATTATGCTTTATATTTTAACTGCGTAACAGTTGTTCCTTTCACATAGTACACGGTATACAAACTAATGCTTTTTTTATTGGTACTGAAAACCGTTCCTATATTAACAGATGAGATGTGCGCACATTACGTTTTGTTGTTATCTGAAATCAATGTCTTGCTCAAATGTGAAACAGTACCCATTGGGAATCGGGTCAATTTCTCCTTTGCCCCAAGGGTTTGTTTATGCCGTTAATAATACTTGTGCTTTATTTCAGGCCAACTTCTTGTAGTGAGTTTTTCTTGTAACATAGCCTATTTCGATTGATTTTTTATTTGAACCGCATGATATTGGGTCAATACAATTTGACTGTTTGTGTTAACCCTTTGTGTATTCAAAGATGATATTATCTGAAAAAAAGCCCATCGTGGTTATTCTTATTTAATAAAAATTGTTGCAGTTGTTGTTGCTGCTGTTGGTGTTGTTTTTATTGTTGTCGTCATTCATCTTGGATTTTGTTGTTACTTCGCCTTACCACTTGTTTTTGGAACGTTCCCCGTCACTTGCAAGTTTACTTCAAGATTGTTTTCATCACTGTTCTACAATACATGACGTCACCAGCTAAACAAAAGCAGCAGTACTAAAACCCTTGTGGTCGTCGTACAAAAAGGTCGAATAAGCCACAGAGAATTGCCGGCTATTATTGATATCAACTCGCTTGCAGAAAGGCGTGGAGCCAGAAAGGTTACGAAGTTTTAGTGTTATTAATAATTTGGCAGAAATTCTAATCGGATTAGTCCGCAGTATGGTCTCGCTGAAAGACGAAGAGAAGATTATAGGAGTAAAGCCTCTGCTTCTTTCACTCGAATCCGGGCTATAAATAACGTTTATTGAGTGAAACGGTGTCACATTTTCATTGTAAATGTGAGATGAGCTTAAGAGGTGGTATACTTTGAGCACCATGGAGTAGTTTAATGTAAAGATCCCATAATGCCGAAGAGACTTCTAAGCGGTTCGTTTTCGGTTTGTTTCTTTTTCTCTTTCTGTTTTTGTTTTTTGTTTTTTGTTTTTTGTTTTTTTGGTGTTAAATTTTGTTTTTAGTATAAAATCCTTCAGATCTTAGAAAATTGTCGCTTTGGGGTTAATTTGCTATTGCAAATTATGAGATAGTTGTACTTTAAAGATGCACTTGGCACGTGCGTTTACCCTGTGAGTGTGTTCATTTCTTTGTTTCTAAACTTCAAAGCAAGGTATATGGTGGCTGGCTGGTTAGTGCTCCGGCGTAGTTTGCCCCTTCTTTCTTATCAAATATCTGTCGTGATTATCTCCTTCTTTTCTTCGTATGATACTCTTTAGTAACATCTCTAAACTGCGGGCATATAAGACCTATTTGTATTGCAAGTTCCAGTGTGAGCGAGAGAGAGAGAGAGAGAGAGAGAGAGAGAGAGAGAGAGAGAGAGAGAGAG